TTTTTTTCCGTTTTTTTTTTGGGGGGGGGGGGGGGTGGTTGCCACTTAGACGCTATGTGCTCTGTACCATAATTCAATTGGTAAGAAAGTGCTTATTATAAGTTTAAATTAAACATAAATATTATAGCAGAGCTTAAAGCAGTTTTTAGGGTTTTGTTTGTTTGTTTGTTATTGTGTGTTTATACTGATGATAAAAAAAGCGTCTAATGAAACTTGTTTACTCTTTCAGACTGTTGAATGCCAACAAGATCAACTGTCTCCGAGTTAACACTTTCAAAGACCTGCAGAACCTCAACCTGCTGTCCCTCTACGACAACAAGCTTCAGACCATCAGCAAAGGCCTTTTCACCCCTCTGCGCGCCATCAAAACACTGTGAGTTACACACACACACATAAACACTCCACTCTCCACACCCACACTCAGTCCAAGAGACTCCAGTCTCTAAGCAACTGTTGAGCGGGACTGCCTTCACCTCGCAATTAATTAGCTGCAAGCAGATAGCAAAACAACATTAACAGCAGTGAGATAAATGTGTACTAAACAAATGAAAACCTTAACACTGAAAAAAAACAGTTCATGTTTATGAATCATATTGTTATCACAGGATATTACTGTTTGATTATACAAACTCCCTTGACTAATTAAGTGTTTTGATTTATCATTATGTCCACCCTCCGTAGACACCTCGCTCAGAATCCCTTCATGTGTGACTGTCATCTGAAGTGGCTGGCAGACTACCTGTTTGACAATCCAATTGAGACCAGCGGAGCTCGATGCAGCCATCCGCGGCGCCTTGCCAACAAACGCATAAGTCAGGTCAAGGGCAAGAAGTTCCGCTGCACAGGTATAGCTACACACCTGCACACTGTGTTTTACTTGGTACTTTGAGTGAAATTAAACAATACTACAGTGTGTAGACATACTTTAACATTCACCAGGCGGTCCACTCTGAATATGTATTCACACTAAGATATAAAATGGGTCATTTAGAAATCAAAATGTTATGACATTGTAACATGATCACTCACTTCACATTCAGTATTCAGCAGCTTGGTAGCTGGCTGCTTATTTCAAATGCAAAAACGTAAAAATACATTGCTATTCAAAAGTTTGGGGTTGTTAAGATTTTTGTGTGTGTGTGTGTGTGTTTTTAAAAGGGTTGCATTTTATTTTATTTAACTATAAGCAAATACGTACATGTCAGCTAACTCTCATTAATTTGCAACTACGTGTCAAACAATTCTCATTAAAGTATTAGTAGACTGTTAAGTTAGTGTCAGTAGAGTATGTTGACATGCACTTGCAAAGTTACTTATAGTTAGTAGAATATCTGTTGATGGACCATCAAAATAAAGTGTTATTAGATATTAAGCAGACAGTCTACTGATACTCTAATGACTGCTAGTTGACATGTAGTTACAAAGTTACTTACTGTTATTAGAACGTCTGAAGTGGACTCTCAAAATGTGTCAAAGTGTTAGCATTGAAAAAAGTATCTTGTGATCTCCAAGGCTGCATTTATTTGATCAAAAATACATTAAAAAAGTAATATTGTGAAATATTATTATAATTTAAAATAAATAGTTTTCTATTTTAATATAGTTTCAAATTTAAGCTGAATTTTCAGCATCATTGCTCCAGTCTTCAGTGTCACATGATCCTTCAGATATCATTCTAATATGCTGATTTGCTGCTCAATAAACATTTCTAATTATTATCAGTTTTGAAAACAGTTGTGCTGCTTAATATCTTTGTGAAAACCATGGTACTCAACAGAACAGCATTTATTTGAAATAGAATTTTTTGTAACAATGTAAAAGCCTTTACTGTCACTTTTGATCAATGTAATGCATGCAATTTAATTTAATGCAATCCCTGCTGAATAAAAATAGTATAATACGTACAAACCAGTAGCCAAAAAAACCCGTTTAAATTCAATGAGTAGGTGGAAAATGGTAGTGTACAACTAAATTATGGTTGTTTTTGGTCCAAGTTAACAAAGGAATTGTACACCTTATGAAAGACAATCAGTCAAGTGAATGAATCAGAACCAGGCTACTACCGCCCACCTGTCCCAACCACAGTGAGTCCACTAGGCTGTGCACAGTGACTTGCACTTGGAGTTCTGGCCCACCAATTGCTGCTCACATGCTTCTTCACACTGAGGCTCCTCACATTCAGTGACGTCCCTTTCCTATATGAGTGTGTGTGGCATACTCTGGCCTGGAGCAGTTCTTCTCACACACTGCCAGGTTTCAGAGTGCTAATAGGACAATGTTGGCTGTTCTGAAGCAGAATGAAGATGCCTTTTTAGAGGATGTTTTTATGAGTCGGAACTGGGCCCCCACACGCAGCCAAAAGCACGTGCCCCTGAGGGAACTGATTTGGTAGGAGAAGTGCAGCCACTGTTTGCTTTGATATTAAGCCACAGGGTTTTCTCATTAAACTTCTGTCAGTATATCAGCACAATAACAAGTGCACACAAACCCACTACTGGTCCCTAGCGTGTGTTTCCACAGTGTTTGCACATGAAAATCTGTGTTTTATGTGTGTGTGTGTGTGTGTATGTGTGTGTGT